GCTCAGAAGCCTGGAGCCTGCTTCGGATTCTATGTCTCCTTCTCTCTCTGCCCGCTCCCCCCACCCCGCCCCCCCGGGCTCGTGCTCTGTCTCTTTCTCTCTCTCAAAAATAAATAAACATTAAAAAAATAAAATAAAGTAAAGTAATTTTGTTACCAAGGTTACAAGTTTCTTTTAAGACAAGTATTTATTATTTGTGTTACTGGGAGAATGCAGTGATGCAATAATTCCTAGATTGCAAAATCTCTCAATCATTTGTATTTGCTATTGCAATCTGGATTTATTTGGGAGACTTACTCTTCTAATTTTGTTTGACTTTGGCTAATGTTAAAACCAGGTTGCACAATGTTAACATATAAAGAGGTGACTTAGACTGGAAAATCTCAACGATGAATTTTAAATTTTTGCAGATTCCACCAAATTTGGTGTTCACACAACAAGAATAAAAATTTTACCATAACAATAGGTATGCTTCCCGCTTCAGCATTTACCAACAATCCCTAAAGTGAAAAGGATCCCGAATTAAAGAAAGAATGGAATTGGAAAACACCTGGAAAATGTAGGGCAGTTCAATTATTTTATAGTATTCACGGTGGCAATCTAAACATTTTCTCAAAAAAAATCTGATAAATGTTTTCAACTAAGTTTTAATAGAATAATCAAGTTTATTTATTAGTTCTCCTGGAATTTTTAATGTCACAATAGGGGTCATAACATCGAATATCTATTTGTGGCATATTGGGCATCAGTGAGAATGATATTTCAGGGAGAAGAACATTTTGTGTATCTGAGAATTAAACAGGATTATAATGGGGGCCTGGATGGCTCAGTTGGTTACATGTCTGACTTTGGCTCAGGTCACGATCTCACTGTTCCGTGAGTTCGAGCCACGCATTAGGCTCTCTGCTGTCAGTGCAGAGCCTGCTTCAGATCCTCTGTCTCCCTCTCTCTCTGCCCCTTCCCCGTTCTCTCTCTCTCTCTGACCCTCCCCCTTCTCAAATATAAAATAAATATTAAAAAAATAAACAGGATTATAATAGTCACCTTTGGAAAAATATTTTAATTTTGATCACAGGAATTGGATTTGAGATTCACCTTCACAGTTTACTAATCATAGGACCTTGGGTATATGTATATACCATTGCTTAGTTATCCATTGTAACAAATCACCTCAAAACTGAGTCGTTTAAAATAACCATCATGGCGTATTTACCCAAGACTTCATTCCTGAAGGAAAATCTGGATGGTACCTCACAGTGGTCACCACAGCTCTGATCCCATCTGTGGCTTTTGGTAGATAGACTCAGCCCTCTTGCAAGGACCTGCCACCGAGGAAGTTGAGGAATAAATACCCCAACCTCATAGTCCTCCAGACTTCCGGCCTCCTGCTAGTGCCCTCTCACATGCACCAAACTCAGGAAGTCATAGGACTCTGTGGTTTTGAGTTACAGAGCAGGGTGGAGAAGGGTGAAGAGTGGATCTGGAGGGGCAGCAGAAGACATTCGGCCGCAGAAGGTGAGTTCAAGTTTTTATTTTATTTTTTATGTCTTTATTTTATTTTGAGAGACAGAGACAGAGAGGGAGCGAAGGAGGGACAGAGAGAGAGGGAGACAGAATCCGAAGCAGGCTCCAGGCTCTGAGCTGTCAGCACAGAGCCCGACGCGGGGCTGGAACTCACAGACTGTGAGATCGTGACCTGAGCCGAAGTCGGACACGTAACCGACTGAACCATCCAGGTACTCCGTGTTCAGGTTTTGAACACTAAAGGCATGTTGAGCTGAATACTATCCTGATGCATACTTCTTTTTTTTTTTTTTTTTTTTTTTTTT